GTCTCTTTTCTGTTACGATGCGGATTAGACGAAATAGCTTTCCAAAGTCTGCTGCGACGGTTGCAGCCTCCTTGTTTTCTGCAATCGCCTTCCAATATTTTTTATGGTCCCTCCTGGCGGATTATGTTGCTTGGTGACGGAGAATACGAAATTCAGCAGAATTGATCACCCGCGCATCTCTTGCCTTTACGGACAACTACAGTGTACGCTCGGAGATCCAATCTCTCTTGTGGCGGAGAATATCACGTAAATGCTCCAGCACCGCTTCTCTGAAGGATGTTTTCAGTGTAGACCACTGTGCGTCAACAGTTGAGTCATCGAAGAAAGTTGCGGCCATGTTGAAAGCGGTTGCATCCAGAAGCGACTACCTTCTCTCAGGTCGTTCCAAGAGCGCGACATTAGGTTGCCCGAGAGACGAGTCTTCCGGCGAGCAATCAAGTGGATCTTGAAGCGGGCGCGTACAGGGATATGGTTCGTGCTGTTCTTGTTTCCAGTTTCTGCGCTGTAATTGAAACGATGGTCTTCTACCGAAGAGGCTCAGCGGACACGTACCAAAGTATAATTAATCTGGTGTGTCGTTCGACCATCGTTTGAGTACCACATGAGCAGATGTTTTCTGGGGTGCTGAGAACCACTGTTGGCCACGACCAGCAGATTAAAGTCAGCAAATGTGACTAAGCGTTCTCCATTTTCGCAACGTTGCCTTATGCCGAACTTTCCCAGAATATGCCGTGTATGTTCGTCTGATGGACCAGTGCGTGCATTTTAGTCTCCTGCGATAAAGAGAATATTGTGTTTTGATCTGTGATTCACTGTATCGTGAACTTGATTGTAGAAGTCGCCTTTGATGGACTCTTCCGCCTGTAACGTCGGAGCATGTACAGCGATGATAGTCAGGTCAGACGGCTTACGCCTGAAGCGCACTGTGGCATTCCTGGTAGAGATTGGTTTCCAGGAGATCATGGCATTCTTTGCTCGGCCACTCACGGCGATTGCTACTCCGTGCAAACCAGAGTTGTCAGTTGAACTGCTGTGTTATAACCGGTAGGTTGCGTTGCTATATGGTAAGTTGATTAGTTTTGTGCCACAGTTGGGTAGTCGTACTTCGGACAGACAACAGATGTCTACCTTGTAGTCGTACAGCGATCGCATTTTGATGCACCGGCTTCCTGTGTATGGCAATCTCCATCAGACTACATGGATGCTGGATATGGTGCATAGATGGTTTAGGTTCCCAGCTTGTCAATTGGTCATCCCAGTCACTGGGAGAGCGCAAGGCACGTCGCTTCTTGGGAACGCCGTAGCATGAACGCGGTGTACCATTGTAAGACGATCCATGTAGGAACTTGGGAATGAGGTCCTAAGCGACGTCCCCAGCGTCGCTCGGCTTTTGTTCGAGGGTGCACCTCTAACCCTTGCACAACCAAGTGCGATCTGCAGGGTAATAGAATAGAATTGTTGGTAGCCAGTGACCGTCAGAACGGTTTATACGCCTTTCAGATGGCTCAGTGCCAGTCCGGGATCCCAGCGTGCCCGTGAGGTGTAAGGGTCGGTAGTATTCCTTAGATTTTGTCCTACTCGTAAGAGTAGGCAAGTAGTAGTGACCTTATTTGGTGGCCGGCCACATTCGTACACATCGGGATGCTCTCAGCAGACATCACATTTGAAAGAGCTATCGGTTGTCAGCCGGAAACCTCACCACATCCTCTAGTGTCGACGTTAATCGTCCTCGACCGATTATTCAGTGAGGTAGCCCAACCAATTCACGGTTAACCATCAAAGTGACTATTCTCCTATCCGCGACCTGGAGACACGCTCGAAGCACTTTCCATAGATAATCCATTGACTATGGGTAGATTTGTCATTTGGGAGTCATGCCCTATTGCAACTTACATTGGTAGGAACAAAAGCCAATCATAAAGGAACAATCCTGTGTTTCGGTGGTTCCGTGACCGGGAAAGTGATGGCATTATACAACCCACAGCTAAAGCATTCTCACCGACTCCCAATTTGATTCCAAATATTTCCCGCGATATGTTTAATAGAGAATCGTTCAACGACCAAACTATCAAAATACAGCCATTTTAGATTATTGAGAAAACACGTCCGAGTCAACTCCTGCACCAGTCACAAGTTGGAATCAGTCAGGTTGGGCGCACTTTCAAACGAGCTATAAACTTGGAAAACAAGCGTTGAGATCAGCGAGCTCAACTGTTTCCGACAAACGTGCGCTCTATGGTATTTCATCAGAACCGATTTTCAATACTCAATCTAAGGATCCATCGGATGATGGTGTGAGTGGGACTGGCGTGTTTTTCCTCGTGAGGTACTCCTAGTTCAGTTGAGTCAGTGGATAGGATCCACCCCGGTCATCAAAGCTGTACACTACAACTTAGCATTATCAGTACACCTCTTTCCGTTTATCTGTATTTAGTGAGACATCCTGCGCAATGGAAGCAATTTATTCACTATTGCTTTGTCTCAGTAGCTGAATGTGGCTCTGAGTGCATATTCGCCAAGGCGATGATATTATAAACTGGGTTGTGTGTGACTGAGATTCCCAGAAATGCACACTGTGCAGCTGAAAATGACCAAAGTGGTTGATTTAACGTTAACGTCACTGTAAAATACATTACCTCGCCTGCAAAGATCATACACGATTTTCATGTTTGTTGGATAGGTTACACCTCATGTCAGAAAGCCATTTGCGAAAGAGATGAAGGATGTGGGCCTTGCATCACACTGCAAGGCTCCTAATGACCAGCTCTAGAAATCCGCTACCTCTGAAGATGTCCATAATCCTCGTGTGTGTCGCGTCTGGAACGAGATCAAAGAAACTTTGGTACGCCAGTAAAGTTGAACTCTGAAACACTGATTTAGATTGTTTTGTCAACCTCCTGTCTTTGTTTACTACAGGTATCCGCGTACCGTAGTACGCTCCAGCTACAAACCCCCTATCGAGCTACTGGCGGAATCAGCGATCACGAAACCAAGTATAATACAGCATCAGAAAAGATACTTTTTGATCCGGCATACAAAGACTGCCGGACAGTTGATGATCGACAGGCAAACCGAATCCGATGGCGTAGAATGGGACAGATAGAAAGAAGTATTCTTCCACAGGAAAACGAAACTCTTTATCGTTCGCACTATCCGATAAAAACACCAGGTATGTTTACCTTCCGGTAAAGTGTTTCCGAAGAACATCTTCACTCTTTACGTTGTCACCAATGCGTGGGATGCAAAAGATAGATACATGTTCGAATAAAATTAAAATTAAAAAGAAATAAAAAAAAATTAAATTAAATTAAATATTAAATGTTCGCATTTGTCACTATCAGTTGTTAGAAGACCTAAGATACGCTAAAGGTCAAGCATCATGTTTGATGGGTTTTACTTTTAACTACTCATAAGTAGACATTTACGAAATGGAGAAATCTAAGTTCAAACTGCGTTTTACCCGCCCAGACCTGTTTACCGTTGGACTGTTTACAAGAAAAACTTCGAAGCTACGAAATGGTCAGTCTTATAAAATGAATATTTTCGTAAATAATTTTAGTAGTAATTAGACTTATGAGTTACCAACAGGGATGCTGGGTGTGTGCTTGTGCAGGTGCAGTTTGAGAAGAGTGCTTGGTGCCTCATAGCAATCGAATGGGCGAATCCAAGCTTCCTTATCTAAAATTGATTGAGCCATTCGCACAAGATGCTGACCGTCGACCGTGTAGATCAAGGGTAAGGGTTTGAAGTCCCAAACCGAATGTTTGCTGTTCAAGTCCTGACGGGGATACAAAAAGTACTCATTGCTGAGGAGTCCCAAACAAGACGAAACAGCTGTCCAGCGCTCTTTGTCGGTTATCACAAGCATTTCCGTCAAGTGTAAACACATGAAATTGTGAGGAATTAACGGTCTACCAAGCAATGAAACCGACAATTAAGAGTACCTGATGCCTCTTAACAATAGAATGGATTAATCCAAGCTTGATACTCTTAAAAAGTAATAAGATTATAACATATCTCTGAAAAATTGGACGCTGTTTCTGTGAAGTAGGATTTTAAAAGGAAGACTAGGTCCTCTTCTTGATACTCTTGATCCTCTTCTTGAAAATTATCCTTTTTAGTTAAGTATGTCAAGAATTAGGACAACCATGAATGAGATACGCTTGTACCAGATGAATGCTGAATGGATAAGATCAATGTATTTCAATCAATGCACAAATTTCGAAATAGGGGATCGAAAGCAATGATTCATGGAGAATCTACTTATGGCTAAAACGATATACATTCGAATTCAAATTCTTGTCCCCCCGCGCCGCAATTTTTGGCCAGAGGAGATTGGTACAAACACTTGAATTCCCTTAGTCTTCGTTGTTATCCTGAACAATTGTGCAATCGTATCAAAATGTATACTCCATTGTGATTCGGTTCACCCATAGTAGTCACACTCAAAATCGGTGTCAGATCTTAGTACTGAAGACTAAAATCTGTCACCTATATCTGATATTATTATTACCTACATGTAATGTCAGACCTTGCTAAATCTGGTTTCCTAGCACTAATAAATGAGTTTCGTTTTTACTATTTTTTTTAAAACTTTAACTCCTCAACTAACAACCAGTAATTTAATGATACGTTGTCGGTGGGATCTAAATCTTGGAATGTACAGTTCAATGAATGGAAAAGTCAATGTTTTGATACTTTTAATCTGCTTTCCCAAGCAATTGATCACCAGAAGATTTACAATGGGCTGTTAGGTTTTTATACTTGGGTCAGGTAGCAATGACTAGCCCACAAACAAAATGGCCACCGCAATCTCGAATTGTGTCCAGAAATCTTATGTTTTTCTCCCCCCATTTTAATTACGCTGAACTCAGAGAGTTTTATTCTGGTTAATATATGTAAAGTTGGTCGGGCGCTTATGTGCTTGAAAGTTGATAGTTCGCTCCACATTCGAATCAGTAGATCTGACCATACAATCAAGGATTGCTTCGTTATACCTGAACTGCTAGGTTCTTTTGACATCAAACAGATGGACTCAGAGGATCCAGATTACAAATAAGGCCAACATCTTAACGTGAAATGCTCATCACAGAGAAGAAACCGGAAAATGGCACACTTTGACCGGGTGAAATAAACCTGCAGTTGATGTAAAATATCTGGTTTTACTAATTCTCTTCCTAGTTTGAGCTGTGATGTTCCGCCAAACATACTTTTTAACTCTAGTCATCTTTGTTATAAAATAGTCGACGATAAACGGCCACTAACCAGGGCTGTCGATATGACAGTGTTAACCTATCGATTCATGCTCGTTCAGTTATAGGATACGATTCCAGACCTTCTTCAAAATAAAATTTTGCAATGCACCCAGAGATTTCTCTGACTAGGTTTATGATCCACCTTCCCTCTTGGAGCTGATCTCACAAATGTTCGAATGGATTAAGGTCGTATGATTGATTTATACACAAGAGCTCATTAGTACCCGTGATGTGTGGACTGGTCTTCATCCTGTGAAATTGCCGTGGTAATTGTCCTCAACCGTGACACAATGTATCGAGTCAGGCAGGATCTGTAGACAAATTCGACCACTGAAGAAGTCACCCAGAAATACTCGCTCATTCCAACCGTGCCAACAAGGAGTGCTCCAAACCTGGATTATTACTCTCGTCATTGGGCTTTCATTCTAGCTAACTTAAACTGATAAACAGCAAATCATACCCTTGCCAACATTCTTATGTTTTCTGCTCCTCCGTTCAAGTTCAGCTGAATTCATGAATGATGGAAAAATTCATGCTGATAGATAAGGAGTTCCTGCACCGCTGTTTCATCCTGTTTGGAGCTCGTCAACAGTGCGTACATTTTGTATACCTGTTAGGACTTCAACCGCAAAAATTCGAGTCGGAACTTCAAACCCTTACACCTGAGCTAGGCGATCAATGGTCATCACCTTGTGTGAAGGTCTCAATCAGCTTAGATTACATTTGGGGCAGCCCCTTCGATTGTTCAGTGACACCAGGCACTTTTGATGGTCTTGGATATGGGTTTTTCTCGTGGGTAGATCAATCATTTCACACTCGGCTATCAAGACCAAACGTACGCATTTCTGACGAATCCCAAACAGGACGAAACACCTGCCCAGTGCACTCCTTGTTGGTCATCACCAACATCGCGCTTAAATACATTCGACTATCGGGGTAGTGACGATCTCCCTAGGAGTGAAGCCCACACCCAAGACTCTCAACAGTATCTGTGAAGAAGCGAGTGGATCATTCCAAATTTGCTACTCCGAATTAGAACTGAGTTTGAAACAACACGGCAAGTATCCTTTCGAGTGCTGGCATGTGGAATTTCACTATTGTATTTACGTTTTAATTTTCAGTATCTACACACAAAGATGAAAACATCGGTCTCTAGAATGATGTAAATGTGGTATGCCTTTGAAAATAATCATTCCCATCTTTTCGGATAAATGCATAGCAAAGAGTGTAACATTCAAGTATTGGACTCGTCATGAGTGGAATTCGAGTAGGATCAGAATCACTTATTCGAAAAAAACGCAGGAAAGTTATAAAACATCAAACAAGGTATTCTCTTCTTGCTCATGCTGTAGAACCGTATTTATATCACAAATGTTTGAACTAGGACGATCTTAAATTACCGATAATTTAAGCGCAAGTGGACGGAAATAAAGGTTAAATTTGTGATCATTTAGTGTTTGGCTACTCAGACAAAATAAGCAGCGTGATTATTTATTCTACGTGGTCTAATCTATCAGACCAGGTCCTTACTGAGAGAATGCGCACCAAGCATTCTATTACAGTCAACATAGAATGTAAAAAGCGAGTGGGTTCTTAATCTCTGAGTGTTTATTTTAAATCCATCCCTGAATCCAGTCGAGATAGTCTCATACAGATGTCGGGGCTGAACAACCCCCGTTTCTAGATTCGAGGTGTCTGAAGTTCGACGGAAGTACACCGAAAAGGGTCGAAAAAATGAATGTCTATTCATTGGAACTCGTCTCAAAGAGATGCACGCTACACTGCATGACGAATAATTGATAAATCATTGGCTGTCGTTGATGGAGTCCAGGTAGTTAAAAGTTGTGCACAACTGTTCCACGAGGTCGTGCTAAACGATCAAAAATAGATATGAGCTTTCGAGGTCATCGAGTTTCGTGAATTTTCCATTTTCGGCCCACCCCGCCTCGCACGTCTTTCGAATAGGGTAGTCATTTGTATATAGACATATTTTGAGCTGCACGAAGGTGTGCTTGTGTGTGTATATGATACAATGTCTATGAGAAAAAGTTGGGATAACTGGTATCGCAGAGTAAAACATCTTTGAAACACACTACAACCTTGATAAAATATTGAAAATCGGTTTTCGTAGCTCGGGTGAACTGAATTCCATTTCGCCTGTTCGCCGAGCTTGGCAATTTGTTTGCAAACGTTTCATCACCAGCCGAGGTGA